TAAGTAAAACACAAATATTACATTTGAAATATTCTCAAAAATCAATGTACGTAGGTGTAAATAATATTCCTATAAATAGCATTGAGAATTTACAAAGAAAATTGCATAGAGAATTGTTTCCATTTGCATATGAATAAAAGGTAGTATCGAATATTGCAAGCAGCATAAATTAACAAAGAAAATTTGGAGCTCCCGAAATATGTGCACCAAGATGGCGCACAGCCTGAACATAGTATGTGTACCAGGTTAGGACTCAGGTTGTGCGCCATTTTGGTGCATTTACTTCGGGAGCGCTGAAAATTGCATAGAGAATTATTTCCGTTTGCATATGAATAGAAAGAAGTTAGTGTAAAAAAAAATAGTAATTTTGTACCTTGATTTTCAAAATTAAATGATATAAATAAAATATATATGAAACTATACAGTATTGAATATTGCAAGTAGTCACACAAAATGAATATATAGCTTTAATCAGTACAGTAACAATGATCTGAACGAAAGTCTCAAGATACGTGATATATTATAACACAACCCTGTGGAGTCAGCGTTTGGAATTAAATTATTATCTATGGATACCGGAAACAGGGCGCTCTGGAAGTATGTGTACCAAGATGACGCACAACCTGAACCATAACCTGGTACACATACTTTATTCAGGTTGTGCACCATTCTGGTACACATACTTCGGAAGCACCGGAAACAGAGATTCTCCCTAAAGACGGGAGTCCATGTTAGAACCATATTTTTAATGGTCGTCGCGATGGAATGGGTGATAGGTCAGAGCAGGGGAGGGCAAGGTTTTTGGATCACGGCCCAAAATTTTGCTCACCTAAACTGGCAGGCCATGTAAGTGTGACGTGAGTTACATTACATGTTACATTTTATGAACTATATTTACAGTGTTACAAAGGCAAAAGTGGAACCTATTAAGCCTCGTTTCCAAACTAAATTCATTCGCAATCTCAATAAATTCCTCGAGCTATTTTTAGGCAAAAACACCAAAATTTGGTTTTAGTTTGGTTGTGGCAGCATCAGGTGGGGCAGATTTGGCCCGCGGGCCGCAGTTTGCTCATGTTAGGGTTAAAGCCTCAGCATTAACTATGTTGTCACCGCAGATTACGGTAGGCAATGTCGAACTGGAAGTATTCCGCTTCTCCTTTCCCAATAATAGTAGCTCCTTACAGGTCAGTGGCTGCTTGTACAGTACCTTGTTGGGAGCGAAAGAAGTAAATGAGAGTCCTATAGCAATATTTCAAAACTCAGTCATGCACTTATCCTCGGAAAATATCACTGAAATATTGGGCGTCTTCTGGCACAACTAATTCAGGTGCTCACGGAATATGGTACACGTTCTATGTTAAGGTTGTGCGTCATCTTAGTGCAGACACTTCGGGAGCTCCCTTATTCAATTACATATCGTATGATTGTCACCTGACTGGGATTTCCAGTGAAGGCAATGAAAGAAGCCTAGCATGTGTCAATGTTTTTTTGTCAAAATTTCGCTTTTTTAGAGTTGCTTCGAAAGTCGAAAACATTGTTAACCTTTGGAAAGAGGTAACCGGGTTGTTTTTGAAACAACTCAAAGCTGGGTGTAAATTTTCCCAAGATGTGAGAGTGCTGTTAAAACCGTTAGCTGCATGAAAATAGTTAATTACAGAGCATTTCGAAATTACTTTTATCAGTTACGAGAAACCACGATCGATTTGCCATGAGGGTTATATTTTCTGAATTATACTAGACTTTGCTCTGAACAAGGTCAAGCGCAAGCGGTGGATTATATGTAGGAAGCTAATCTTTCGGACGGAATGAAATCTTTGTGGGTATGGGGTTTGAATTAAAGATATTTGACGTAGAATAGCAACACGTTTTCCGAACAATTAGCATCGATTCCACTAAAAACTAAAATTTCACACATAAATGCATCATAAAAAGAATATATAAATTCGTTGGTGCTCTCGAAGTATGTTTACCAAAATGACGCACAACCTGAGCATAGTAGGTGTACCAACCGGTATAGGGTTCAGGTTGTGCGTCATCTTGATACACATACTTCGTTTGCTCAGAAAAAAAACGGTCTTTTCATAAATGGAACAAAATAAAAAGTACCGTCAATAAAAAAGGGCTTAATTCAATCCAATTAATGTTCTAAAATATCAAAGTCATATCATACAGAAATCTTCAATCCTAAACACCAACACGAGTATCCCAACACTTTATTAACCACATTACTTGGGATTTACATTTTTATCTCGGGTGAGTGTGAAGGCGCTGAAACGGCTCAATTATATAGTAAACCACGGCTCTCGCCTGGTTCATGTCGGGTCTGGCTTTAGTCAGTCAGTTATTCGTTTTCACATGTATGAAATTATTCAAATAAACTTAAAAATGTGACATTGCAACTTCAATAAGTAATAGTTTCATTTTTCACACATTTGAAACGTACAAGCAAAGTCATTATGTAATTAGTTACAAACCGTTATATCACTACCTAAGGTCAAGTAACAATGAAATATTTGCATTAGCTGTTATTATTATCAAACTAAGCAACAAATCCACCCCTAAAGCTGGCTCTCATCATGTTCCGCCACTGCGATATTATTGCGTCCAGAACCAGTTTCGTTTATTACTTGGATATTGAGTCCCTACTTTTTGATACAATATACACAAGAAAATCGGGAAATTCATTACAACTAACAGGACGGGAACTACGATAGAGGAAGTCCATGAACGTAATTAAAGGATCATCAGCTTGATTACAACATCCAAAATTTAACGATTTAACAATGGCTATGATAACGAAGAACAATTCAAAAAATAGTGAGCCAGAGAAAAAACAAAAAAGGGCCTGAGCCCCTTTGCAACCGAATTGGAACAGAAGTATTTCTGGTGATTTCTAAGATATTGAGATAAATCACAGAAACCTTTATCGGCGATTGTGCAGTTGAAATGATGATTATCCTCATACATCCAATTTGTGAAATATATACTTTCACCTAAACTTGCTTCAGTGAATGCGAGCATCAAACTACAACGAATTATGTACCACCTTCTTGGTGTCATAGAGCACGAAGAGCACGACTTGAGCGCACGATGATACTTCCATATCTTTAAACAAACATTTCGTAAACGCGTTTCGTTTTTGGAAAGCTCTCCGCTTCCATCAAATAATGTCATCTTTACCTCTTTTTCCAAATCTTCCAAGGTTTTGATGGATCTTCCGACTTTGGTGGTTGCGTGAGATTTTCCATCTCAGTTTCAATTTCTGTGTAAGTGTTGAAAGCGCGTTTCACACAAGGAATTGCATTGTAGAAATTAGCAATCATAAACATTATAACCACGTAACGAATGGTAGAATGCCAAATATTGAGATCAATTTGACATGCTGAACACAGTATGTGTTAACGAAATCCGATGCAGAGAAGGCAATCACATTGTTATTGGAATTCGTTGGCGAACAGTGAGGTATGTCTGTTTGAGTGATCAAATACATTATGAATAGTGAAGATGCAATACTCAATCTTGCGAAGAACCCGTGCCAGACTTCTCACCATGGACTCAACCCATATTGAGTCATGAGGCTATTAAAATAAAAATGATCAAGTTGAACAACTGTAGCTGGCATTATGAATACTGTCAACTATGATATAAGACTGGAATGATAAAGATATTATCGGACTTGTGAATCTATTTTTGACATGAAATAAATAGGGTGGATAAATAGGAACATAGTATTGTAACAGGTTAGGGTTGTTCAGGTTGTGCGTCATCTTAGTATGAATACTTCCTGAGCGCCATAAATAGAACATTCGTTGGAATCTTGTTGGAGTCGAGAGAATAAAGCCTGTTCTTTGTGTGTAGCAAAGATGAGAGTCATGTTTATATCAACAAGGACGAGGCGTGTCTATAGTAATCAGTAATTTATTTCTTCACCATACTGAAAATACAAACTATACATACACAAATTGAAAGAAATATAAAAGATCGCACTTCTGGGTGAGAGGAGTCGCCGAAAACCGATTCTGGTTTACGGTGAAAATAAAATATGCACCAAAAGTGCAATTCACAACGACGAAATTCGTTTAATAAAATAAAATGTAGGCGTCGTTCACAACGAAATTCCACAGTTACGTCTCTTTGTCTGGCGGTGTTTGGTGAATATATTGTATTTATTTCAAGTCCTATTTTAAACATCGACCAATAATCCGTAGTCAGTGGGTACCCGAATTCAGGAATGAAACATCGAAAATCGCAAAAATAAATTTTAGAGAGAACTATAACTTGCAGATGTGAGTTTTATATGTACAAAAACACGCTCGAATGTAGCGCCGATCAAATGCATGAAATGTGAAACAATTACTTGGAATTTATTGTTTAATGAAGTTGATTTTTTACTGCCATTAATTGATTATTTACATTCGCTGTGATTAGTGGCGGGTAAAACCGTATTTTTTTAACGAGGTATTACAGTATTTTCATTTTAAACAACATTAATTGGGATGTCGGCTACACGAGCGCCGTGACAATATTCTTTTTTTCCGGATTGTACCAGAAGACTGAAAACCCCGCAACAATGCGGCGTTTTTTATTTTTTTCATAATCGAGGGTTGAAGTAAATTTTTTGTCACCGCGATCGTTCGGCACCCGACATTCCAATTAATGTTGTTGAATTATATTAAAGCACTTTTTTTTATTTAATAGCAAATATTAATACCCGCGCAAAGGCGGGTATCGTAGTTTGTTTTTTATATTTCGGACAGAATTGTGAATTCACATCGGAGTATATGTTAAAGACAACTATTGAGGAGTGCATTCACAACACAATTTAATTATGATTTTCATCTTCTGCGTAGGATCTGTATCACAATTTGTAAATTACGGTCCAAATTTTATGCGAACAATATTATAATTACTGACCCGGGGATGCGATATTTGTGAAGCGGATAGTTGACGACATTTTTATGCTTTTAGTTTGTAACCCTTCTGGAATTGCAAGTATATTATGTACTTCCAAACATCAATGTAAAATTTTCTGCATCATTTGTCAAATTTGGATCGAGTTCTGCTTCAGGAAGATACTTTATATAAATATCAAGCAGTAATAATCTGTCAAATGGAATATAGATTTTATTTTCTCATTGTATTAAATATTTTCTGCACCATCAAACCCACCACACTCAGCATCAACTTTCTGCGTTTGTTGTCATTTGTATTATTATATATGAAGCTCAATAAACGATTAGCTGTTGACTGAAGTCAACTATTTTCGTAAAGAGCATTTAGCGGACCAGAGTCCCGAGGTTTGCATTAACAGTGAGTCGCCTTACATCCTCCAAACTTATATTTAGAAGACAACACTCTTTAACACATGTGTTCATAATTTCTCATTAGCATTCACAAATTTATTCACAATACATTTAATCCAGCGATCTCATAAGCTCCAAAACAGGACACGTGGTCGAAGATTTTAGGCAGACTAAGCTAATTACACATGATTTCTATAATACACTTTATCTCAGGGGTGTGATCAAAATAACTAGCAGCCCGCACCTCTATTTAACATAGGCTTTCCAGTAGTTGCAGGCTCAAACATTTGGGTTATTGATCTTGTGACATGCGCTTCGCATAAGCTAGCTGTTACGGCATTGCAACCTCATATGCATAGATGATAAATTGGATACACAACAATTTTCCTTGTGGCATTTGGCCCACAGGTTGTACACTCCTGCTTTATTTAATGCACACTTGATTTATCACATGTTTTTTCATAGTTCTCGAATGTGCGAAACATTTTTCACAGTTTGTGCATTGATATGGCTTTTCTCCAGTGTGAACTCTTAAATGAATTTCCAAATTACTTTTAAGACGAAAGGTATTCCCACAAATTTCACATGAATATGGTTTTTCATCTGTATGGATTTTTGAATGTGTGTTTAGGTAGCTCTTTGTTTTATATGAATTTCCACACCATGTACAAATAAAAGGTCTCTCGCCGGTCTTCTCCAGTTTGTGGTTGTTTATATGAGTGTTTAATTGGCTTTTCTGACGAAATTTGTTCCCACATTCTTTACATTCATATGGTTTTTCACCTGTGTGAATTCTATGGTGGATTTCTAAATTATGTTTACTTGTAAATGATTTATTACACACAAGACACAAAAACGGCTTCTCCTTTGAATGACTTCTCATGTGTATACGTAGTAGAGTACTTGTGAAGAACTTCTTTTCACAGACTTCGCATTCAAAATCTCTTATTCTCATATGATACATTTCAATATGTGCTTTCAGATGGGACGTTTTTTTGTACGTTTTGTCACATAAATCACATTTTTGAGGTCGCTCATTCAAATGCGTATTTACATGTTTCCTAAGATCTCCTGATCGTTTAAAATCCTTTCCACATATTTCACATGAAAATGGTTTTTCATTTGAATGTACTTTTAGGTGCGCAACCAGTTGATTTTTCCTTACGAACGACTTCTGACAGATTGTGCATGAGAATATTTTTGAATCTGTGTGAGCCTTTGAATGAGTTAACAAGTTTTCCTTATTTTTATAATGTTTTCCACATTCTTTACATTCATATGGCCTTTCATTGGAATGCACAGACATGTGAAGTTTGACTTTATAAAAATTCGAAAATGATTTATTACATAATTCACATTTATATCGCTTTATATTCGCATGTAAACGTAAATGTTTTCCCAAATCACTAGATGCAGAAAAAGCTCTACCACAAATTTGGCAAGCATGTGGCTTGTATCCAGTGTGACTTCGGATGTGAAGTTTTCTACCCCAGTTGCTTCTAAATTGTTTATTGCAGAAATCGCATTTATAAGCATATTCTCCAGTATGTATATATGTATGCACGACAAGACTTTCCTTTTTTGCAAATGATTTTGTGCAATACTTGCATTTGTAGGCTTTATCAACTAAATGAGTTTGTTTATGGGACCAATAGCATGATTTTGAAGCTGAAACAAATCCACAAACTTCACATTCTGTAGAGATTCTTCCAAATTTTTGCTTTGGTCCTTGGATAGATTCCGAGCAACTTGCGACATCCTTGAAAATGGAGGGGTCACCGTCATATCCAATTCTAAAATCGGCTTCATTTGGACAAACACTTGTGTTATTCATATTTTCTGGAGCAATTTCTTCAACAATTATTGGTGTAAACTCGACTTTAACATCAGTTATTGCTGCTTCAATATCCCAGTCAAGATCAAATATTCCAACTCTTTCCATATTGATCCTAGGTCTTTAAGATTATTACAAACCTAATAAAATATAACATAAATAATTGAAAAATTACATACAAATAAGATGACCATGCACGGTAAGTTCGAAAAGAAGATACTGTTGTCGGTAGTTTGACTTCACTGTGTACTCTGTTGTTGAATTAAATCACTAAAGAATCCTTGTGGTGTTGAAACATCACCAAAATTAGAAACACATAAAAAAACAAATGCATTTACCCATTGAATATTCGGAAGGAATTGGTTGAATAAAACTACTTTTTAGTCAAAAGGAATAGCAATTTGTAAAAATGATCCATGAATTCATTTGTCTAATAACAGATAGAGTGATTGAGTGCGCGCTGCAATCAAGATGTACAACAAAATAATATTAAATTCGACATTCTGGCATTTACAGAAAAGCATTTTTAAGTTTAATTGGTTTCCTCAGCAAGCTATATGTTCCATTTTTCACCCAGAAATATCGAATATATATTCTGTAATGGGTCTCTTCCACAAGGGAAATCAATCCTTCAAGCCGATAGTAAATTTATAGAAATAAAACTTGGTCATGCAAAATAATAGAGATAAACATTGTTCTAAATTCTCTATTTTTTGCGTCAGAAGTTAGTTAACTAATCCTGGAGGGGGTTGTACTCGCTGTATTCAATTAGCAGGTCTGATTAGTAGGTCTGCAACATGAGAAGCCTACTAAGCATTATTCAACTCTTCATTTTTGCGATAGCATACTTCTTTATTAACATGTATTCCGAGATGTGATTGCTGTGAAAAACTTTTTCCACAATTTCTACATTGATACGGTTTTTCTCCAGTGTGAACTCTCATATGAGTTTTCAAATTACTTTTTTCTCGAAATAATTTCCCACATAATTCACATGAATATGGTCTATCGTCTGTATGGATCTTCAAATGCAATTCTAAGTAATATTTTAAAGCGAACGATTTCCCACATATTACACACATAAATGGCTTTTCGCCAGTCTTCTCCAACTTGTGCCTGTTTTGATGGGCTTTCAACTGATTACTTTGTCTGAATCTTTTCCCACATTCTTTGCATTCATAAGGTTTTTCTCCTGTGTGAATTCTTTGATGAATCATTAATTGTGACTTATCTACAAAGGATTTATTACAGATAAGACATGAGAATGGTTTCTCATTCAAATGAGTTCTCATGTGCAAACGCAGCGAGGAATTTTCAAAAAATTTTTTTTTGCAAACCTCACATTCAAAATTTCTAATACCAACGTGTTTTTTCATAAAATGGCTTTTCAGATGTGTATTTCTTTTGTAAGATTTTTCACAAAGTTTGCATTTATAAGGTCGCTCATTAGTATGTACTACCTTCAGATGTCTCTGGAGATCTCCTGAGCATTTGAAGGACTTCGCACAAATCTCACAGGAAAATGGTCTCTCATCAGAATGCACCTTAAAATGAGATACAAAGTTAAAATGCTTCGTAAATGATTTTTGACAGATTGGGCATGAGTATATGTTTGAACTTGTGTGAGTCTTCACATGTGCACGCAAGCTTTCTTTAGTTTTAAATTTTTTCCCACATTCTTCACATTCATGTGGCCTTTCATTTGAATGTACAGTCATGTGGAGTTTTAATTTGTAATTACTTGAGAATGCTTTGCTGCAATGTTCACATTTATATGGTTTTATATTTGCATGTGCTCGTAAATGTTTTCCTAAATCACCAGATCCCGAGTAAGCTCTACCACAAATTTGGCAAACGTGTGGCTTGTATCCAGTGTGGGTTCGAATGTGAAGATTTCTACCCCAGTTGCTTCTAAATTGTTTATTGCAGAAATCGCATTTATAAGCATATTTTCCAGTATGTATGAACGTATGCATAATAAGACTTTCTTTTTTCGCAAATGATTTTGTGCAATACTTGCATTTGTAGGCTTTATCAATTAAATGAGTTTGTTTATGGGACCAGTAGCATGATTTTGTAGCTGAAACAAACCCACAAACATCACATTCTTTTTGATTTCTTTTACGCTTTTCTTTTGGCCTCTGGATAGCTTTTGAGAAACTTTCTACATCCTTGAAAATGGATGAGTTGACATCAAATCCGATTCCAAAATCAGCTTCATCTAGACAAGCACTCATGGTATTCATATTTTCTGAAGCATTTTCTTCAACAATTATTGGTGTAAACTCGACTTTGACATCAGTAATTCCTGCTTCAAAACTCCAGTCAAGATCAAATATTCCAACTCTCTCCATATTGTTTTTAGATTTTTAATTAAGTTAATTACGAACCTAACAAAATATAACATAATCAAGTGAAAAATTCACAACGCCAAGGGATTGGGATGGATTTCGAGAATTAAAAATATTTTCATTTGAGTATTATTTCAGCATTTGAAATAATTAGCTTAGACACAGAAAAGATTTTCTTTTAGTTCTGACACCGAGAAACAAAATCAATCAAATATCCTTTATTTGAACATTTCACATTCCAAAATTTAATTGCTATAAATTTTTTATTATTTGTTGCAAATCACTCTGTCAAACCCAATTCAATTTAGATTATTTCCAATATTACATTTTTGATTGTATTCAGAATGGTGGATTATACGATTTGAACATATTTGAGTTCAGCCTAAAGTATATTATTATTCCCAGTCTTCTGTGAATTTATCATGCCATGCCAAATATGAAAAATGCACAGACTCAAAATTTAAGTAATGAACAATGCTAAGAAGTCAATTTTCAACAATGTATCAACTCTACTGAAGGCAAGAAAATGAGAACTACCAAGCATTATGCTATTCTTCTTCTTTTCCTGAAGCATACTCGTCTATTAATATGCATTTTGATATTCGATTGCTGTGAAAAACATTTCCCACAGTTTTGACATTGATACGGTTTTTCTCCAGTATGAACTCTCATATGAGTTTTCAAATTACTTTTATCTCGAAACAATTTCCCACATAATTCACATGAATATGGTTTATCATCTGTATGGATCTTTAAATGCAATTCTAAATATTGTTTTAGAGCGAATGCTTTCCCACATATTGCACAGATAAATGGCTTTTCGCCTGTCTTCTCCAACTTGTGCCTGTTTTGATGGGATTTCAACTGATTACTTGTCTGAATCTCTTCCCACATTCTTGCATTCATATGGTTTTCACCTGTGTGAATTCTTTGATGAATCATTAATTGTGGTTTATCTACAAAAGATTTATTACAGTTTAGACATGAATATGGCTTCTCATTTAAATGAGCTCTCATGTGCAGACTGAGCGAGTATTTTTCAAAAAACTTCTTTTGACAGATCTCACATTCAAAATTTTTGATTCCTACATGTTGCTTTGTAATATGGCCTTTCAAATGCGAAGATCTTTTGTAGGTTTTTTCACAAAGTTTGCATTTATGTGGTCGCTTATTAGTATGTACTTCCTTCACATGTTTCTGACGATCTCGTGAACATTTGAAAGACTTTGCACAAATTCCACAGGGAAATGGTCTTTCATCAGAATGTACCTTAAAATGTGCTACGAAGTTCAAATGCTTCTTAAATGTTTTCTGACAGATTGGGCATGAGTATATTTTAGAGCTTGTGTGAGTCTTCCCATGTACATACAAGTTATTCTTGGTCTTATAACATTTTCCACAATCTTTACATTTATATGGCTTTTCATTTGAATGCACAGCCATGTGAATTTTTAATTTAAAGGAATTTGAGAATGCTTTGCTGCATTGTTCACACTTATATGGTCTTATATTTGCATGTGCTCGTAAATGTTTTCCTAAATCACCAGATCCAGAGTAAGCTCTACCACAAATTTGGCAAATGTGTGGCTTGTATCCAGTGTGGCTTCGAATGTGTAGCACTTTCCCCCAGTTGCTTCTGAACTGCTTATCACAAAAATCACATTTATAAGCATATACACCAGTATGTACAAATGTATGAATAGTCAAACCTTCCTTTTGTGCAAAAGATTTTGGACAAAACTGGCATTTGTAGGCTTTATCAACTAAATGCGTATTCATATGGGAACGGTAACTTGGTTTTGAAGATAAAATTAATCCACAAACTTCACATTCGCAGGGAATCCTCATGTCCTTTCTCTTTGGCCTTGGAACAGATTTAAGAGAGGAACTTACAAGTGCGGGGCTCCCAATCTTTGCAATTTCATAATTTTCCCCATCATAACAAGAATTCTTGTTACCCAATATTTCTGATACATTTTCTTCAATAATTGTTGGAGTAAACTCGACTTTTACTTCAGTTATTCCTTCTTCTAAATCCCATTCGAGATCAAATAATCCAACTCTTTCCATTTTACACAGTTTGAAATAAATCAAGAATTTTAACAGAAATCTGAATAGCATGAGAATAACGATAGCGAACAAGATTTTATTGTGAATTTAATGCTGTAAATAGAGCACAATTGTTTAGTCTATGATAGGCCCGCCAGAGCTTTTGTGTGGCATAAATACCGTCCTCACAAAAACAAGCATATTTATCCTGCGGAGCGGAAAGATGTTGAGATGGCTTAATCATATGGCGAACCACGGCTTCATGTCGGGTATGGGATTAGCCAGTAATTTGTTTTAGGAAGCATGGACTTGATAGTGGAGCTCAAACGTATAGCATGATGCGCCACACCACCGAGCTTGCTATAAAGAAGTCAAAACAATATTATTCTAGTAGTGACTCATGATTCCCACACAAATATTATTTTTTCGACTCCTCAGGGCTCAATTCTTGGACCAATACTTGGAGTGCTATAACTACCAGTCGCCTTTTTTAGTTTTTTGTCTCAAAAAGTTGCTGCCAGATTTTCACAATTCAATTGAAGTGTACAAGATATAGGATAATAGATTTTGCATGTCAGATAATGTATCAGCAGGCAATTACAATTCAGATATCTCGCAATAGCTCTATGTTAATTATATTGGGCACAATGGTGCACAGTTTAACACAATGGATCAGGGGTTGAACACGAGTCTTTTGGCATCGCAAGTTAAAATTCTCCGCTTACTACCCCATGTTCACTCCGCTAACCAGGGTGTAATGAATAGAGTAGGCAGTGCGAACCAGAAAAATTCCTTCTGAACTGTGTTACTGCTCTCTACCTAGCAGTGGATGCCTATATAGAGCCTTGTTCGGGGTGTAAAGAGTATAAAACATTGCATAATAATATTTGCTCAATTCTCTCATTTTGACTTCAATATCGTACGGTGCCCTTCAGACGGCTCGGCGGTGTCGCGCATTATGCTAAGCGTCAGGAATACGCTCGCCACCGCATCTCTGATTACCCTTCGTGGGTTCGCAGGTTTGAATCACATGCGGGAATAATCATGTGCAAGAGGATTGCTGGACACCTCGCCACCGTAGGGTGATTCACTGAACCGCCGGTTGGTTACGGCTTCCACCACCATCAAGTCAAGTCCATGCTCACAAAAACAAATACCTGGCTAACTAACCCCATACCTGTACCTGATCTGGACTGGTAACCAGACGAGAGGCCGTGGTTCGCCATATGATTAAGCCGTCTTATCGGATTTTCTCTCCCCCGGGATAAATATGTAAATACTTCCTTCCTAAACTGACAACTTGTCAGGACGCCGGTGTTTTCCCGTAATGAGCAAGAAAAGTTTCTACTTTTAGGTCTCGTGTACTTTCGTACCGCAATAACTTCTAGTGGGCGTGGCACAACATTATTTTTATATGTCATTCCTAACCCCAACCTGACTACGTCATCCAGAAATTAAATTACTACGAAGGTCACATTGACGTAATAAAATCCGCGGAAATATATGGATAGTCGTCCAAAACGCGCAGACTATCAACCGTAGCCGAGCAAGCTATTTCTCCCGTTTTCTCGTCGCAACGATCCCGGTATGAGAGAAATCGCCGTCGTTAGTAATTTTTTTTTCAAAATGTATAACAACAATACGGTAAAACTATTTTACTGGGATTGCAAAATCGACGGACAAGAATTCCACTTTGAAATCCCGTTGCCACGCGAAGCTAGCGCCACCAAGTTGCCGTTTTTATAGGTTGGTTACTTCGCGAGAAAACCATTTGCGCACCCCTTTGCCCCTAAATTCAACCTGATTGCTCATCAATTTGGATATATTTTCCCTAGAGATGATCTACTAACACATAGATCAATCATGATGTTACATTTTCAATGCAACACCAGTTTTGAAGATTATTATATGAAAGGATTTAAATGTCCAAATTTATGCATTATTTATATTAAATATTCATACATAGAATAGATAGGCAAATGAAAAATGCCAAAACACCCACTTTGGCTATTTTTTGTCTAATATTTGTCTTACAGTTATTGCACACACAACTATCTTCTTCAGTTTCCAGACCCAGGCACAATCTAACTTTGAGGCACACTTGTAAAAGGTTTACCGACCACGGACTTTTCTGACGTGGCATTAGACGTGTTGAGTCATCTTCTGACATTGGGAGTCGCTTGAAAATAACGATAGTAGTGAAACCATTCGAGGAAAACTCATTTAGATTGTTTTCTAGGCTTTTATTAACTCAAAGATCACTACAATACTAAAACAAGAAAAAGAACAAGTTACAAGATGTGGCAACCTAACCAAATAAATCCCAAGCTTTGCCACGCGACCATTAACATTTCATAGTGCTCGGCGATGGTGCCACGTTGGCCACATTAGGTGGCGCTAATTTAATTTCATCACAATGATACACGAAAACATGCGGATTTATCTATAGAACATATCCACCACATTGGCGACATACACAGTACCTTTAACCAGCCAGGTTTCAACTCTGAACAAATATCGTCTTGTACTGCTTTATCAGCTATACTCTCTTTAACTTTGCCTGGTCAAACCTAACTACGCCCATATGCGACATGGACTGGTCACCGGACGAGACGACGTGGCTCGCCATATGATTAGGCCGTATTATCGACTCCCCCCTCTGCTCCTTGGTATTCTCTTATTAGCACCTTCTGTGAGAGACTGAATTAAAAGCACTTTGACAAATTTTCACAACACACTCAGTTTCAGCATAAACACTATTTATTTGGAGAACTTGGCCACACTGCGAAACAGAGAAAAAATATGAATTCTGAACTGCAAATTGGGATAATTCCTACAAGATATGAAGGCAATTGAATGCAAATTGAATTTTCATCTCAAGAAAATAATGCAATTTTTTATTAGTATTTGAGAGCATGAGTTGTATTTTCAAGCTCGCAGAAGTCTCGAAACGAATTAGATATATTTTAGAGTTGGTGGTAATTGGAATCAAATATGCTAAAGGTAACTAAAAAGCTTTGTGTGGCGGATTGTCTAACTAATCAGACGGTGCTCCCGAAGTATGCGTACCAAGATGGCGGACACCGGAACGTAACAGGTTAGGGTTAGGCGATAATTTTTTTCCGATTTTTCTTATTTTAGTCCTATTATCAGTTCGAAGACTAGCCGAGGGCCTCCCGTAGTATTTATACCTAAAATTATGGCCTAACCTGGTACACATATTACATTCCGATGTCCGCCATCTTGGTTCGCATACTTCAGGAGCCCCAATCAGACAAATAATGAAGGTGAGCATAGGCCACATTTTTCATGGTCAAAATTGGGTGTTGAGTTGAAAATTGGATTCAAAAGGTAAAAATTTTCTTCATCTTGATCCAGATGCCACAGTCAAAAAGATGGAGAGATGCCAAACAATTTTTATCAACAAGTCCAGGGGGGGGGGGGGGGGATTCATTTTCCCGGCTCAAAAGAGAGAGAGATAATGATTTATTTGTAACATGGTCTATTGAGCAGATGCCATTCCATGTCAGGTAGACTTAAAGTAATTTGTAATACAATATAACATTTGCTCATAATGTATATGGTATAAATAATATTCAAATTATCCATCGCTTCAAAAAGAAAAGAAAAAACAATCTCTCACAGCTTTTTAATCGCTTGAAATAATATCAATCAATCACAACAAATTGTTGAACTTGAGTTGCTTTGTGCTCATTGATGGAACATGTTCTACTCAAGTAATATCGTAAAGCAGCTTTGGGAAAGAATGAATGAAAAATAAAACTAATCTACCAATCTCGTGAGAATGTTATCAGATAAAATTGAAAATAGAGATGTTAATATTGTAACATACGGTGTTTCCCCGAAAAAAAATTGTGGTCATATTCCAATTCTATTTCGAAAAATAACACTAGGGCTCATTTTGGGGAGATATCTTGAAAACCGATATCCAATTATCTAGATTTAGAATAGATAACACATTTTTATTTAAAAAAAAATGCCAAACATTGATTATTCAAAATTATCATCATCTTCCAGAATATCTCGTAAGTCACTAGATTCATGTCAATGTCAAAAAAATTTTGTGCTATCAACTAGGTCTTATTTTCTAAAATCATTCTTAAAATTCAGGCTCGGTCTAATTTTCAGGGAAACACGGTAATGGTGCAAACTACTTTAATAAATATGAAGAATCTACTAGTAATGCTGTTTGTGTTGTTATATATCGCATATATGTCAGAGAAAGGAAAGCCGACAATATAGCCCAACCATAACCTATCAACCATTCAAATTTCTGGTCTGGCATAGGGGTAAGTACTCCTGTAGTATGTGTACCAGGTTAGGGTAGGGTATATTCACTTGGCTAACACAGACAGTTCAGAACTTGTGATAGAAATAAAAAAAGGGAAATCGCAATAAAATTATGGCCTAATCTGGCACGCATACTACAGGAGAATTCATAAATTATAGTATATTAGGCATTCTAGTAATATTGGTATTGCAAAATGTAATTGGAAGCATTTATAAAAGTGAAAAATAAATCAAAATTGCTTCATCCCAAAATGTGTAACAATTTTTGAATTAGGTTTTAAATTAAGGTGCAGCGAAGGTCGTATAATGATTGGGAACTCGAAAAATTAGACAAAAACTATGTGTTCATAAATCCATGTTGATATTTATCGAACAGTTTGGTAATGTAGATTTTCTTATTTCATTAATTTTAAATAATCTAGATGGAATAATTTTTGGTCAGATTTATGCTGTAGGTTTTTAAGTGTAATAATTCCATTGATAAAAAATAACAAATTTTATAAGAAAAAATTCGAATATCTGACTTATAAATTCTTTCCAATGATTCAAATTGGGATTTCCATTCTAACTAAATTCTGCTATTACGTTAATTTTGATTAATAACTAATTTACGAGGATTTACTTTCGACAGAATTATGATTCATGCCAAATTTTAATCTGTGTAAACTTTATTGTGATTATTCCACTTATAAATATACATGAAATTGTTTATCATCTCTTGACATATTCGTTCAATAGTTTTTAATCGTTAATTTTGTTCATAATATATTCTACGGACTTTACATCATATTTATTTGAAACGACAGTGTTCAAAATATTGATACTTTGCTATTATTCAGCAGATGCTTAGATCAGTGGTTCACAACCAGGGACCAGTTGGAGGGGGCCTAGTGTGTGAGAAACCAAGGCAGTAGCAAAGGCCAATAAAAAAAAAACGAAAAGAAGTGAGTGGAAGCATCTACCGCCCATCAACAGTCTATACCTAAAATACTTTTGCTAGCTGCAAAACTGATTTCACCTTCCCTTGACAAGAAAACTTCCGTTCTTCCTAGTTTCATTGCTTGAAAGGGATTCTTCCCTTTGTTGAGCATGAATTGTTTCAACATAATGGGATTTGTAATCCACCAATCGAAAACAACACTGTAAATACCTTTGGAATTATAAACAGAGGGGCCATGAGTGCTAAAAGCGTCCGGAAAGGGGCCACAAGTCATAAAAGATCGGGAACCACTGCTATAGATGTTCATATCCGAATACTTTGTGTATTGGAATACTCTCATGCATTAAATTGAATATTCAAAATTTGAAAAAAAATTCTGATATGTGCCAAATTTAAATACATTTTGGTGCATAAATTTTCAAATTAGTCGAATAAATATGGTTGAATACAGTTGATTCGGACTTTAAATCAGAATTATAATATGGCCAATTTCAATATCAACTTTAGTGCAAAGACAACATAAAACCAGTAATTTAAATTAATACAATTCTTGATAAATATATTTTTATAAAGCCTTCAATTTGAATATGTACCAACTTTGAAATCCGTTGTGCAAAAACTTCAATTTAGTTTATGTTCAATTCAAATTTTTAATTATGATATGAGACAATTTATTTACTTTATTGCAAAAACGTCAAATTTTAGATTGAAATGAATACAAATTATTGCAATTTTCAACGTAGATATTTCTAAAGCATTCAATTTGAATTACATTTGTTCATTCCTGCTATTCAACAGCTCAGAGCCAAATATGCTGACCTGAAGCACCAAATGATTAAGCAGTGAAAAAGTTTGAGCGTGGTCTACTTCAGAACTATTCCAACACCACTATCATTGAAATTTGAGTGATCAGAAATAATCTCATCCTACTAGGCATTTGGCCGATGCTGTTACTTTCTGATTTATACCAGGGGTGTGCAACTTTAAATGATGGAGAACCAGATACAAATAACTGGTTGAAACTACGGCAGAACCTTTAGTAAACATAGGCTTTCTAGTTGATTCAAAGATTTTAGTTATTGATCTTGAAATATGCGTTGTTCACTTCGCACAAGCCAGATGTAAGGGCATTGTAACCTCATAGGCATAGATAATGAATTGGTGGCTTCGCAACGCAAGAGATTGGGATTACTCACACATAACAGATTAAACTCGTTTCACGAGCCACACATCACTCAAAATTGGCACTTCTCCGCCAGTCGCACGATTTTTCATTGTGGACTGCAGGTTGCACACCCCTGGTTTGTAAATTAGATTAAAGGTGAAATAATACTAAAGTAGACCTGACCAAAGAGTATATATAGCTGAAATTTAAAAGGAATAGGTCTTTGTTATTTTATTTACTTCTTTGTTTTGTAGAATCAATAAAATCTCTTCCTGCTTTGTTCTTGTCTCTTTTGGAAAACCACGAAACCTACAACGACACACACGCCGAGACCTAGTAATGCACAGATGAAAATCAAAAATATTTTAAACCCAGACATCGCTGTGTTTCTGAATCCGCCTGCCGCGGACTCATCAGTGTTATCTAAAGGCGGTTTGAAAAAGCTGACGCTTGGTACTGCAGTCCCCCAACCATCATCTTCCCCTTGTGGTCTGTGGGCATCAATTTCGTATAATTTTACACCAACAATGTCATGGTTATCAGCCAGGTCACCAGTGGCAGCAGAGACACCAAAAAAAATAACCGACTGGTAACGTAACTCCCCTACATCGAAGCACTCCCTCCAATCCATACCATCGTCGACATTAAGAGAAACTGTTAATCTGCTTTGACATATCTGATAAAATGCTGGTTTCAAAATCTTTATTCTAAATGAAGCCAAACAGCTACCGATTGAATTTTGACGACCGTCACTGCATGGTCATAATTCATACTTCCATTGTTCACCATAGCAGTTATAAACGGAAACGTCACAGCTTGTGGACCATTCTTATAAGTATCCGAGAAAAACACCAAGCCCACTGAACTGGTCGCGACTCCCAAACACAGGACCAGGTTTCCATTCGTTGTTTGTAATACCAAATAGCAAATCCATCTGCAGCTAGTTTCTGCCTCCCCCCGTGAATTTTGAACGACATGATAAGTTCCCAGTCTCGTAAATACACCGGTATTCTATTCCAAAGACTTCCTCGTTTCCCTTGATGATCTGGCGTTAATCTGACGAAACTATTTGTAATCATAGTGGCATCCCGATAATCCCAATTAGGTATACTTGCGCTACTTCCAGTATATGGTTTGATGAGACTGTGTTGCCTTTTCAAAAATCCAGGCTCATTATGGTCCAATGCCAAAGAAAATGCCACGAACAAGGACAAGAAAACGCATATCTGCTTCGAAAAATTTGCCATTGCTGTGTATTGAAATGATATTTATATTGTCCTTATATCTTGTTTTTTCAGTAGTTGCACACAGCCGCAGGCTTTCAGCCTCTGGTAGAGCACAAGTGCGGCAAAGAGATTGGAAAATAAAATTATAGTATTTATTAGTCAATATGTAAAAACAAAAGAATTATAATAATAGCCACACACGCTCATGCTTTTTGCAAAGTGTAAGCACAGTAACAGGTTAGGGACTATGGAAATTTAAAAATTGAAGTTGTAAAAAAATATTTGAAAACAAAATAAATATAATTGGTTGACAAAATCGAACAAAAGTTACTGCCTGAAATATCGAGTCAGGTAAAGTGACCAGTTGTTTCAGAAAATACCAACTTGTTTGTTTGAATAAAATTGATTTAGCCGGCAATTTTGATGATGGGGCAGGTAAGATAAAGTTTATTTATCCCATCAATTAATTTTTAATGCTATCTTTTTTCAATCGTCTCAAATGTTTCGATTCCGTGCTTGGGCAATGATTTTGACCATTTTCAAAGCAGCAATAAGTTGCTGCATGGGTAATTGGTTACGCCCATTTTCAGAAGTTCATTTTTCTAATTCTGGAACCTTTTCATGATTATCTTCAATTACTCCAGCCAAAAGGTCCATGTGAAAAAAAAACAAATAGACACAAAAAAAAGTTAGAACATTACTGCATTAGGCAGAAGTTACAAAACTTGAAATAGCTCATCAGACTGCAGGACTGTCAAAGTCATTACAAAAGTATCTGGAAATTCAGGAATTGAATAGTGATTACAGACAGACAGAGGGTTGTTATTTGCATTTGCTTAGAAACAACTAACGGACCGAAATTTCAATTAAAGAAGGAAACGTTACCGGTACCGGTACCATTTACGATTCAATCAATCTTACTTTGGTCACTTTGACATAAAATAACAGGACGTCTTTCTAATCATATTTTACCTTCATTTCATATTCTACCATCGTCTATTATGCTGATTATAGAGCCAAATTACCTATACATTGAAATATTTCCTGAAAATGAATCTGAATATGCTCGACAAATACGGTACCGGTTCCCCTTCTTGCTGCACTGCATCACACACTTGGTGACGCAACTCAACGTGCTACGTGAAATCGCTGAAGCAAAATCACGAAGCAAGACTCCTCTGATGACCACGTAGCCCAAAGAAATTAGTCAAACATTCATGGAAAATCAACTTTGAGCAAAAAAAATAAATAATATTTGTGATAAAAACCTTGAAATATTGTATCAAGCATCTGCGATGGCCGAACTTCAGAAACTTGGATAACATAGTGTCGGCGACAGAAGTTTCTTTTCAGCGGCGGTGTGGCTCAACGGGATACGCTCGCCACCGCACTTCTAATTACTCTGCGTGGATTCGCAGGTTCGAATCCCATGCAAGGATGGTTATGTGCGAGAGGATAGCTGGACTCATCGCCGTCGTTGGGTGGTTCACGTAACCGCTGGTCGGTTACGGCTTCCTCCACCAGCAAGTCCATGATTCCGAAAAACAAATAACTAAAACTAATCTCATACCCGACTTGGAATGGTAACCGAACGAGAGGCCGTGGTTCGCCATATGGATAAGCCGTCTTTTCGGCTTTCCTCACGCCTTAGGCGTCCAAGTACATAACAGATAGCATTGATTACGTAACAACATGGTTCTCAAACAGGACGTCGCGACAAGTGCGTCGTTTCAATATTGATAGGGCGTCGCAAAACTTTTCTTCTTTTGCGGATTTGTACCTGCGGTGCGTAGAAAAAGTCAAAATTTTCGTTATTCTCGTTTAAATCATAATTGAGAACTGGAAATAACAATATAATTTTACAATATAATTAATTATTGTAACGATCGAAAATAACAAGCGCCCGTGCTTGAATAAGGGCCCGGTTGGTGAGTCGGTTGAAATATGGGCCCGGGCTACAAAACGAGCAAATACGGTAATCCAAAAGGCTCGAAGATCGCAACTGGCATGTCTAAAAACAGAGTTACAATTTAAACTGGCTGCTTATAATAAGTATGAGTATAATAAGTATAAGTTTATTTCGACTCCATAATCAGCAATAGACGATAATAATGGATAAAAACAAAAGTAACTCATTTTTAGAATCGGGAGAGCGAACAAAACCTTTAGTAAGGTTTGAAACGTAAAGATTTTAGATGGAAAGGTATTGATAAAAGAAGTAGTACGAGTTCGCTCACCCAAAAGTAAAAAAAAAAACTAATTAAGGCATGCACGCACACACACACACATACACACGATTATCGAGACATGATACTGTCGGAAGATAAAAAAAAAAGCGAGACTTAAAACCAATTAAATTACTCAGTAAAACGGAAAATATACAAATAATCGAATAATATCGAACACATTACCTCAAATTCGTAACTCAGTGTCAAAAGCTGCGTTGAAAAAATGCGTTCCGAATGTGATATCTGAAGTTGAAGGTATGAACGATGAAATTGATAGTTACATCGACCGCGATCCTGAAATATCGTGCGTGGCGCCTGACGAAGAGAACTCTCATATTTCAGGTGAAAGTATGGGAGAGGATAGCAATAATAATCTCCAGCCAGCGGGCGCCAAACAGCCCGATGGTGAAATGGGGGCGGCAACAGACCAATCCGCCCCTTTCGGCCATTCAATTTGGACCGCGTCTGCTTGTTTATTTTGGCAGCATAAGCATCGTTTGGTAGTTTTAGATGATTTTGATACAATTTAAATACACAGCCATACATTTTGTCCTACTGGTACCAATATGTGACACTTGTGTCTATATTTGCGAGCCATGATTTGACGTTTCGTTTATTTATTGAAATAAATTTTCTGTACTGTCCGGACCCCAGTAATTTTAAGGTTTGCTGAACGGACTTTTGGTGAAAATAGTTGAGTAGCCCTGATCTAGTGGACGAGAACACGCCGATCGCCGGGAGACACCATTTCTTTCAAAGATTCACTTTATGAGCCCAAGGTTCAATAACTTTGACGAACACGACGTGTTACAATCAACTCGAAATAAAAGTGCCCGCTTCGAACCAGAGACTTTTACCACTCAAATATACGTCGTGAATATACAATTTCTTACACTCCAAGACATTACCAAAATCCTTCACCAGCAAACCAGATGTCGTTGCCAGACCGATCGGTAGACTCCTGGATCGATAATCTCCAACCAAATCGAGAAGGATCTAGAACGGTAAATGATAACATTTCTTTAGCTGAGCAAACGTGTTTATCTTTGAGTTAAATTCTAAAATGTGGGCTGAGCAGCATCATTTGCCGCCGGTCCAAATAAGTCCGTTTGATGGTAGTGCTATAAACTGGCCTAATTTTATTGAATTGTTTTATGAAAATGTACATTTACGGTTAGACGATGATGGTCAACGCATGGTGAGATTGTCCACGTGTTTATCTGGTTCGGCGAAACGTCGTGTTGAAGAATTAGGTACCGCCGGTAGTCATTACATACTGGTTTTAGGGGAATTAAAACGCCGCTACGGGCAGCTGGTATTGGTCGCACGGGCGGTGCTTGACCGTGTTGTAAACGGAAAACGTATTTCACCTCTCTCGGCTGATAGATTACTGAATTTTTCACTCAGACGTGCGTGACTGTGTGGTGAATCTAAAAAAGATGTGTTATTTGGCTGACATCAGTAGCGTCGAGAATGTAAGAAGAGTTTCAAGCCGGATTACTCATGGACTGAATTCGAGTTGGGATAAATTTGTTGTAGGTTTTATTCACAAAAACTCGAATCCGACATTAATTGACTTTTAGCAATGGTTGTGGAAAGAATTGAGGAAATCGCCAATCCTTTTTCTCCAGATGTTACTTGCAATGTGATCAATAGAATTGATCCGACTGACCATGAGATACCCAAAAGCGCTCGTCGCTGGTTTCACACTCCATTTTCAACGTTATCAAACTTGGAACCCGATAATACGTCATATATGGACGCATCACGTTGTCAATTCTGCAATGCTCGCCATTTTTGAGGAAGCTGCGAGTCGTTTTTTGGTGCGACCGATTATGTAAAACGTAACTTTGTTGTAGATTACAGACTTTGCTTTAAATGTCTTGAACCGGGCCATCGTGTATTTATGTGTAGATGTGATGTCAAGTGTAGTATATGCAGTGGGAAACATCATAAATGTATTCATGAAATTCGCATGTTTGAAAGTGACCCAAGACCAACAAACCGACAGGGTATAAACAATGCGGTGTCGCCGTGTCGGTAACCACTTGGGTTCAATTTCAGATGCTGCCCGTACTGATGGAGAAAATGGACGCGCCGATTATACAGTTGCTTTGCTTGATTCGGAAAGTCAGGTCTCTCTCATTCATCCCAAACTTAAAACTAAATTGGATTTGCGTGGGTGTCGTAAAAAACTCATGTTAACGACCCTCGGGAGAACTGGGGTCTCGCATGACTCAGAAGCCGTCGAACTTGTTGTACCTGACAAATTGAATCCAGATGGCAAAGAACTAGCTCTAAAATCAGTTTTCGTATGTGGCACCAAAAATTCCCCACCCTGAAAGACGTGATAAAGATTTTGAAATCCTTTCATCATTTGCGCGGAATATCAATTCGAGAAAACGAAGTTATGTTGCTCATAGGAGCGGATCATGCACTTGCCTACTTTCAACTTGATAGACGTGTGGGGGCAGACGATGAGCCGATTGCTATAAGAACGCCACTTGGATGGACTTTGTTAGGTGCAAACAAACGCTTTTGTGAAGTCGATTTTATTCAAGCTAATTTATTTATTACACGACGATTACAATATCGTGCAAACCCAAGATAAGCAATTTTGGAGTACGGAAGCCATAGGGGTGGGCTACAACACGAGACGAGTCGAATCTGTGGAAGATCACGTGGCTGCTAATATCAATATAGCTAAAACGTCTATTCTTGATGGGCATTATAAAGTCGGCTTTCTGTGGCGTCGCGATACTCCCATTATGTCGGAGATTTATGACGGTCTCATTTGAGCGTTTGAATGAGTCCGCGACGAGCCAGAAATTCACTAACTATCAGCGACGATTTACGTTCGAATTTACATAAAACATGAAAAGCAAGTTTATTCACATAATAA